ATAAAACGGCCAAAACCGCGAAAAAATCGAGAAAAAGGAAAAAAATGAAACAAAAATTTTGCGAAAATATTTATTGTTGGGTTACGGTAGCACTCGTTTGCCGGCTGTGTTTTCGAAAATTCTCCTTGAAATACGGTGGCCTAACTTGTGTGAAAATTCGGCCACAACTCCAATTTTTTTGCACAAGAATAATAGTAATGTTCAAAATGAAATCGTCTCGAAAAATTTTCGAAAAATTCCTCGAAAAATTTCTCGAAGTCGTGTCGAAAGGACACACTGCTCATGACCTGAAAATTGGGAACTGGGTCCTGATACCCAGGACCGAGGACCCAGGTGGAGCTCCATGACCTAGGTTTTCAGGTCATGGACTAGATTTCAATTCTCTTGTCATGAGCTAATTTGAAATATTTTTTTAAAAATTTCTTTATTTTTTTAAATAACGAAATCAGATCAAAACCTTTCAACCAAATCATTATTCCCATCGATATTCTCCACATATCCACGTCTGAATGGAATCCGAAAATAGGTTCCGACAGTTTTTTGATATTTAAATGATCGAAAATAAATAATAAACGGACGAAGAATTGGTCCAATTAATGCGATTGTATAGCCAATATTTACAGGAATATAGGGAATTATTCTGAAAAAAAAGATAATTTGAAAATTCGAAAAAAAGAATCTAAAATTTTGATTTTTTCGAAAACTTCTATTTTTTTGAAAGTTTTGGAATGTTCACATTTTTTGAAATTCCAAAAAAATTAAAATTTGGGCCGGGCCGGGTCTTGACCAAGTTTTTGAAGGCCCGTCGCAAGTAACACTAAAATTCTAAGAATCAGATTTTCAAAATATTCGGAAATCAGAAAAATCAGAATTTCAGAAGTTCGGAAATTTAGAATTTCAAAAATTCAAAAATTTCGGAATTTAAAAAATTCAGAAAATTTGGAAACTCTAAAAGTTCAAAAATTCAAAAATTCAAAAATTCAAAAATTCAAAAATTCAAAAATTGAGAAAATTCAAAAACTCCAAAACTCAAAAATTCAAAAATTCTAAAAGATCAAAAATTCGAAAATTCAAAAATTCTAGAAATTCAAAAATTCAAAAATGCAGAAATTCAAAAATTCAAAAATTCAAAAATTCAAAAATTCAAAAGTTCAAAAGTTCAAAAATTTAAAAGTTCAAAAATTCAAAAATCCAAAAATTCAAAAATTCAAAACATCAAACATCGAAAATTCAAAAATTCAAAAGTTCAAAAATTCAAAAATTCAAAAATTCAAAAATTCAAAAATTCAAAAGTTCAAAAGTTCAAAAACTCACGTTTCTCCACACCTATTAACCAAAAATTCTATCAGCAAACCCATATTTTTCGGTCCAAAAATGAAAAAACTCAACAAAATCGAAAAATGCAATTTTCGAAGTCTCTCCGCATCATTTTCATATTTCTTACAGCCCAAAAAAATCAATAAACTCAAAGTAATCAAAAATGATAGAACTAAAGAAATTGTTTCGATACCGTATGTCAAAAACGCAATTACAGTAATCCAATTTCGATTTTTTATATAATTCTCCAAAGAATTATCGATTTGACATGGTTTATACGGTAGCTGTAGAAATAGATAAATTTGAAAAATAATAGAAAGCAGAAACCAAAAAATCAATAAAATCGATGCGAAAATTGCAATTTTCATGGTATTTTTTGAGTTGCGAAAAACTACAGTAACCCCACAAGCTGCAAATCCAAGAAATCCAGAAAATTGAAAAATTCCAGATATGATATATTCAAAAAAGGCATCATAATAGTTCAAATAAGTTCCACAAATCAAATGTTCCGTATAGAAAATAATTAACCAAAATTCGATAAAAACTACAGTAATCGATTTGAGCAAGTCTGCTCCACTGATAAATGCGAGCATTTTGAATTGCGGGAAGTTTTTTGAAAGAACAAAAATGTTTAAAAAATTCAAAATTGTTGAGAAAATTGAGAGAATTAGGGTTGGCCAGTCTCGGAGATATAATGGGGTATAGTAGGAATCCGGGACTTTCAGATTTGGCATTTTTTCTGAAAAATTTTAATTTAAAAAAAAAGAGAAAATGCGTAAGTTTTGACATTTGAATATTAGAGAAAAAAAAGAGAAATTTAGGAAAGGAAAATTGAGAAAAATGTTTAGAAGTTTCCATAAACACAGGTAAAATGCGAACGGGTCCGTTACGGACGCTTCGCGTTCGCGCGCGGTTGAAATAGGAATCGTATGCGGACCGCAATCAAATGTTTTATTGAGTTCGCAATCGGATCGGATACGGAGCTCGCGAACGGACAGGATACTTAAAAATCGGAATCTAGGTCATGAAATGAAAAATTGAAATCTAGGTTACGACAGCTTCCTCGCTTTTACCCCGTCCGAAAAACAAAGTTTGAAAATAACAGATCAAAAATGGAAAGGACTTTCCGAACAACCTAATATAACAACTCGAACTTTTGAAAATATTCGAGTTTTCGGGAAATTAGAATTTCCAAAAAATATTTTTAAAAAAGAGAAAAAAGCAAAACATGGAAGTTTTGAAAAAAAAAATTCATTCTGAGAAAAAAGCACGGCAAGGATTTTCAAAAATATCAGGAAATTCGATTACAGAAAAATCAATTTTCGAGAAAAAAAACACACAATTCGCAAAATAAGAAATAGAAGATTTCTGAAAACTGAATTTTTTAGTTTTGAATTTTCTAGTTTAAAAAAAAAATTAAATCGAATTAAAATTTTCAAAAAAAAATTTTTTTTTTCAAGTTAGATAAAAAAGTTTTGAAATCATTCTAGAAAGTATTTTTCCAAAAATGATGTTATTAGATTTCCTTTCAAAACCAAAAATTATATTAAAATGTTAGGGGGGAAAAATGGCAAATAACAAAATAAATTACATGCTATTTCTCACATTTTCTCGAAATTCTAATCGCAAAAATTTAGAGAAATCAGAAATCACAGAAAAAATAATACTTATTAATAAAAATATTTTTGAGTTAAAGGAGGCGAGACACCAAAAATTTCGGCTCTTTTCTAGTTTAGAGGTCCCAAAAAAGAATAGAGGTCCGAAAAAAAATTAGAGGTCCCAAAATAAAATAGAGGTCCCAAAAAAGTTTAGTGGTCCCAAGAAAAAATAGTGGCCCAAAACTTAAAAATGCACAGATACCGGAATAATGTACTAAAATTTGAATTGTGTAAGAATTTAAAGTTTTGAGGTCTTATAGCAAAATAATTGTTGATGATATATTTTATACTTCTAATAGGCTTAGGAATGCATATTTTCTGACAATTATCTAAGCCTGAGAGACAGCATAATCACGGAGTGATTACTGTATTGCCCAAATTTTCCTCATTGTAAATCGGGTTCATCGGCAAGATGCGAGAGAATTGGAGCTAAAATTGTTAGGAGTAGTCATGTCATCCTATAAGACCTTAAAACTCAAACTACTCGCACAGTTCAAATACTAGTACATTATTCCAACATCTGCCCGTTTTTCGTATTTTGGACCTCTATTTTTTCTTGGGACCTCTAAACTTTTTTGGGACCTCTCATTTTTTTTCGGACCTCTAAATTTTTTGGGACCTCTAAACTAGAAAAGAGCCAAAATTTCGGGGACAGTTCGGGGGACAAAATCGCGCCGCGCTTATGTAGACCATCGGTCGTCAGGCGCCTTCGCGCCCCCGTAGCTCAGCCGGTAGCAGCGCTGTACCCCTGAGCTGCCTGTCATGAGTTCAACCCCTCTTGGAGGTTCTCTATGCAAAATATCAGGAAAACTTTTTTTTGGTGTCTGGCCTTCTTTAAAGGAACTCCAAAATTACAAAAAAATAACAAAAAAAACCCAATAATTTTTTTTATGAATTCGAAATTTATTTTAAAAAATCAACTATAATTTTCAGCTTCACTGACAGCATACTGGTTAGATGGAACGATTCGCTGAAAATTATTTTATTATTGTGAAACCTGTATTAGAAGGGCCGGCTCGTCTATTTTTCCAAGGTTTCCCTCCGGAGGGCCCTTCTATTACAGGGACCCTCCCATTAGAGGGAGCCCTTCTATTTTTCCGGCCAGGTTCCTTTTTAACAGGGGGCCCTTCTTCTACGGGGGTCCTTCTAATACAGAAAACAAAAATTTTGAAAAAAAAATTTAAGTTACCGTGTTACTCCTTTCGCAGAAATACATTTTTTTGGCAACATCTCGATATGGTGTGGACATAAAGAAGCAGATGAATAATTGAATACTTGCATTTATTGTTTGAAAAATTACCATTGTTGTCATTGCCAATGTGATAAAAAATCGTCTGGAAAATTTTGAAAAATGTTATTTTTTGAAAAGTTTGAATTTTCGATTTTTTGGAATTTTTGAATTTTTGGATTTTTGAATTTTTGAATTTTTGAATTTTCGAACTTTTGAATTTTTGGATTTTTAAGTTTTTGAATTTTTTAAATTTTCGAATTTTTGAATTTTTGAATTTTTGAATTTTCGAATTTTTGAATTTTTGAATTTTCGAAATTTTGAATTTTCGAAAAACTGGAAAAAAAATCATTGAGCTGATTTTTAAGATATTTTTGAATACCGTGAAACCTGTATTAGAAGGACCCCTCTAATTGAAGTGTCCTCCTAGAGACCTCACGGAAAATAGAAGGGCCGGCCCTTCTAATACAGGTTTTACGGTAATTAATAAAAAGGTTTTTTCAAAAACCCACGGCGACCAAAAATCTGAAAATCGTATCCACAAAGTGTAGATTATCATTGGAACTCTTGCAATCACAAATGAAAAAATGGTCACAAAAATCAATCCTTCCGTTCTCTCGCCTCTTTCATGCTCTTCTCGATTTTGTAATATTCGATTTTTCGCTCGTTTCCTCAGAAAAATCGCCAAGCAAACTGTACAGAAAATGTACATAAAGGCCTGCAGAAATCGATCGATTTCATCTAGAAAATTGAAAAATTCCAGAGCTTCATGATTTTTTCTTTCTCCAGCCAATGTGTATTGTGGTTTTGTGAGTATATGTCTTGGAAAATCACACATAAAGAAGTCTGGGGTTTTCCTGATGTTATAAACCAAAAGATAATGGGCGAAACAGTAGGAAAATCCAAGAAATGCAAAAATCAATAATATCAAATAGGCCGTCGATGGTTTTGATAGTTTTTCCGACCAAGAACTCATGGCAAACTGAAAAGAAAAGACATTTCTGAAGTAAAATTGCTTAAAACCTGTATTAGAAGAGCCCCTTTAATAGAAGGGCCTCTTTAAAATGTGTTAAATTCAAAAATTCAAAAATTCAAAAATTCAAAAATTCAAAAATTCAAAAATTCAAAAATTCAAAAATTCAAAATTCAAAATTCAAAAATTCGAAAATTCAAATTTCAAAATTTCAAAATTTCAAAAATTCAAAAATTCAAAAATTCAAAAATTCAAAAGTTCAAAAATTCAAAAATTCCAAAATTCAAAAATTCAAAAATTCAAAAATCCAAAAATTCGAAAATTCAAAAATTCAAAACATCAAAATTTCAAAAATTCAAAACATCAAAATTTCAAAAATTCAAAATTCAAAATTTCAAAAATTCAAAATTCAAAATTTCAAAAATTCTGATATAGTGGCCTGACTTTTGCAAGTTCCGAGACGGGAGAAAAAATCTACAGTACCTTGAGTGATATAATTCTCAAAAGTGCCATTGCAACTGTCATCCACATGACCATAAAACGAGAAAATATTGTGAAGAGATTTGTAAATATTGAAGCAATACCAAATTCATAATAATGTAAGCCCGAACAATAATCATCGTCGTTATATTCAAGAATATACAAGATATCAGCAGCGAGAAGAGAAAATAATAGAATTAAATCGAAAAATGCAATCATTGCCATTATCAAAAAAACGGAATTCGATTTTAGCGATTTTTGTGTCAAAATCGATAAATGAATTGAATTTGTGATTAGGCCAAAAATCGATACAATTATATTCGCATATCGAGCGATTAGGTCGAAAAAGAATGAGAATTCGGCTTGCTCAGTAACTTGAATTAATTCTTGTTTTGTTAACTTCATTATTTTTTTTTTGGAAAAAAACTGAATTGGAAAAAATTGAGTTTCAATTTTTGAAAATTATTTTTTCGGATCTTTGGGTTTTTAGAAAATTGGGGGGAAAATAAAATAGGTGTTAGAAAATTGGAAATATTGGAAAACCTATGATTAGAATTTCGGCCAACGCCCACAATAAGGTTTATTCATAATTTGAGGCTTTGGAAAAGAAAATCACATCACTTTATTTGTTTTCAGAAAAACTCAAACAATTATTTCATATTGTCGAATTTTGGTTGGGCAACGGGGCTCCCGCTTTTACGCGGGAGCCCCGAAAGCGAGGGCGGGGATTCACCCCCCGCCTCGCCTGTCGAAAAACAACTTTGTTTAAAGAATCAGTAACCGAAGTTTTAAGATTATTTTACGATTCAGGGTACCCAATTAGGCTACCCTGAAATTTTCAAGTCAATTGGTCCATTCAGTTACGCGCAATTAACGCACCCGGGGGGCGGGGATCGCCTTTTTTCGCCCCCAAGCCAACCCTAGTCGAATTTAATGACCTAAAAATTGAAATCTAGGTCATGACCTGAAAACTAAAATCTAGGTCATGACGATAAAAACCTTTTATTCTCATATTCAGAATTTCAGAAAAATATTACTAATTTCTTGAAAAAAGTTGAGAATTTCTATCTAGTTTCCAATGTTTAATTTTCCCTTTCCAATGTGCCAATTTTCTTATTTTTTCCCCATTTTACACCAGAAAAACAAATCAGAAATCTAACATTTCAACTCGTTTCTTCAGTAGAAAATTCGAGATTTTAGAATTTCTGAATTTCTGAATTTCTGAATTTCTGAATTTCTGAATTTCTGAATTTCTGAATTTCTGAATTTCTGAATTTCTGAATTTCTGAATTTCTGAATTTCTGAATTTCTGAATTTCTGAATTTCTGAATTTCTGAATTTCTGAATTTCTGAATTTCTGAATTTCTGAATTTCTGAATTTCTGAATTTCTGAATTTCTGAATTTCTGAATTTCTGAATTTCTGAATTTCTGAATTTCTGAATTTCTGAATTTCTGAATTTCTGAATTTCTGAATTTCTGAATTTCTGAATTTTTGAGTTTCTGAATTTCTGAATTTCTGAATTTCTGAATTTCTGAATTTCTGAATTTCTGTTTTTTTTTCTAGAAATTTGACAATTTTTGTTGCCAGTTTTTCATTCATTCTCAATTTTTCTGCATGCTATCTCAAGTACAGTATCGAAAATTTTTAATTTTTCAGGTTCCCAAAATGTATTCAGAAGCAGCTCTTCCTTATTTAAATTTTGACTATAATTCCCGTTTTCTTACTGTAGTTTTATCAATTTTCGGAATAATTTCAAATATTCTCCATTTTTCAATTTTGATCAAAAAATCATTACGAACAAGTCCCGTTTTTATATTTATGGCTGTGATTTCAATTTGTGATATTTTCCAATTATCAATTCAAATTTTCAATGATATTTCCCATTTAATCAATTTCAAAAATCCTCATTTTTGTCTTGGATATTATACTTATTGGGGTACTGTACTCCAATTGCTCATCCTATTTTTCTCCTCCTTTTTCATTTCAATTTCCAATTGGTTGGCAGTTTTAATGGCATTTTTCCGGGGTTTATCCATTAAATATGCGACAAGCTCTCGATCGGAAACTCTATCAAATCCAAGTTTCGCTAGAAATTTGACAATTTTTGTTGCCAGTTTTTCATTCATTCTCAGTTTTTCTGCATGCTATTTCAAGTACAGTATCGAAAATTTTTAATTTTTCAGGTTCCCAAAATGTATTCAGAAGAAGCTCTTCCATATTTAAACTCTGACTATTATTCCCGTTTTCTTACTGTAGTTTTATCAATTTTCGGAATAATTTCGAATATTCTCCATTTTTCAATTTTAATCTCAGAAGTATGTCATCTTTAATCTGTTGATCCCCTCTCACAATATCTCTTATCTCATGAAAAAGTTTGATCAATTCAATTGAATCCCTGAATTCGGAAATTTGGAAAAAAAACATTTCACATTTCAAAAAATCTCAATTCAGATTTTCATAAGTCGAAACTTTCGAAAGTTGAAATTACTAAAAAAATTGATAGTAAGAAAATAAAAATTTCGAGCATTGAGCAATTTTTCACTGAAAACATTGAAATGATAATTTCAATATTCATGAATGCCTCTTTTATCAAATCGATGGCCTAGATATTCCAATGATTATATTTTCTGCAATTCCCGACTCCGAAAAATTGATTCTCAAAAAGTTTTTTTCCTAAAACATTCATATTTATTTATGTTAAAACCCTTCGAAAAAGCAAAAATAAATAATTAACGAGTTGAATACATTTCGGATGGAATTCAGATGAATTCGGTTCCAGTCTTTTTTCCAGTAGTTTTTCCAGTTTCGGTCTTCTTGTTCTTCGTTCCCTTGTTCCTTTTCTTTTCCTTTTTCTTTTTATCAGTTGTGCTCTTCGTTGGAGCTCCCGTAGTGGTTCCAGTTGTTGCCTTCTTTCCCTTTTTCCCTTTCTTCCCATTCTTCTTTTTCTCAGTTGTGTTCTTCCTTGATTCTCCAGTAGTGGTCCCCCTTCTAGTCGTTGATCCTTTGGTCTTTGATCCTTTAACATGGCAAGATATTGTGCCTATATCTTGTGCTAAAGTAGGAAAAGTACAAGTCTATGATGCATCATCTTTTATTCAGAGTGAGAGGTGCTAGATAACACGACCTCTCGCTGTCCGCAAGTGCGGAAGAAGTGAAAAGAATCACGTCTGGTGGTGTGTCTCTCCCCCTTTCCTCATCACTATTCACTATACACGTGCCCCGAGTAGAAACACGATGTAAACTGATAGCAGAGAGATAGAGATCATGGGAGACGCAGAGCGTATGCCATGACAATCCATTTGTTTTACCATACGGATCCAAAACTTTGTTTTTTTTGCCCTGTCTGCATTTCAAGAAACAAATGAGACCACCAATGAGAACGATTGTTGCGACGGATGCTCCAATGATGATAGGCACCAAATTAGAAGATTCCGTTGTGGATGTTGACGTAGTCTTTGTTGTACTTGTCACATACTCGGTACAAATCGTGTCACCTAAAGAAACATAATGAAATTGTTTCACATTTTTATATAATAATTTTTGTCTATATATCTAGTTTCCTGTAATGGATATCAAAAAGTGATCATTTGACAAAACGTTACTGATAATATGATAAACATTTTTCCAGTTGACCACTTTTTGATATCTTTTACAAAAAATAAGATATATGAGCTCAAAGTTGGCGGTTTAAGAAGGGGTACTTCAATTAAAGAAACTCACGATTGTCTCCTCCATCGGAATTACAATAGATACGCAATGCTCTCCCCAGTCCATCATGACATTGCTTCCTGATATTCAGAATTTCTTCTTGTTGCAACTGTCTTGGATTTGTTTTCGAACTTGTCTACAATCTGCAATATCGTTTTTTTTGTGTGCGTGTTTCTTTAAAGGTGGTGTACGGTGAAATTTTTTATTGCATCAAAATGTGCAGAAATGCATGTAGATTGACATAAAAATAAAGAAAAAGTTCAAAAAAATTCCTTCATCGAGAAAAACGCATCGAAAAATACGCTGAAAGCCCTTAGGGACGAGGTTTTTTCTAGGCCGCCCGGTGAGTAAAAGCGCGCGAATTCAAACTTTTAAAATTTTTTCGCTCGTTTTCACTGTTTTTTCAAAATTTCCGATGTATCTGGAAGAAAAATTGACAAAAACCTAGAAAACTCATGAAAAAACCGAAAAAAAGTGAAAACGAGCGAAAAATTTTTGAAATTTTGAATTCGCGCGCTTTTACTCACCGGGCGGCCTAGAAAAAACCTCGTCCCTAAGGGCTTTCAGCGTATTTTTCGATGCGTTTTTCTCGATGAAGGAATTTTTTTGAATTTTTTCTTTATTTTTATGTCAATCTACATGCATTTCTACATATCGTCAATCTACATATCGTAAGAAAGTGAGAGCAAGCCGTCGGAAGAAGGTGCAGTGGCTGAAAAAACGAAATTGGCTTCCAATGCGGATTTTCCATCTGTTCTTCTGGATACGACCAATGAATATGCTCATTTGCAATGCTTCCCAAATTTGCTATTGGGGTCTTCTCTCGATTGAACTCCACGTGTCCAAATATCGATCGAAAAAGAAAAGAAAAAAAGCGTTTTCTCGTTAATGTATGCCAGATGACACAGATCCCAACTTAAAGGAACACGGAATATTGAACTCTTTTGCATGACCCATATACTTCACGTATTTTCGATACGTAATAAATTATTAAATTATTATTTCTGCACATTTTGATGCAATAAAAAATTTCACCGTACACCACCTTTAAATATTTTTTGCGATAATTTTTCGATACCAAAACTCACCATATTTCCAACATTCCTCTTTCATATATGGGACAAGTAGTTTTTCGTAAGCAGCTGCGTGATCGTTGGTACCAAGATTCCAGGCAACGAACGCGGGTCTGTAATTTGACTGTGAATAGCGGCTTCTATTCTATTGAAACTCACGTCTTACTCTCACGAGGATCTTCAGACATAACTTCAACTTTTTGTACGTCTCCATTACTAGTGCAACTGTGCTCTATAGAAATTCGCACCACACCGAAAAAAAAGGTCGGCAGCTTCACATTTGAAGGTGAAAGTTGTATCCGATGAGTGACTTTTGTGATCGCAGTCCAGTAAATAATTTGGTGAATATGGGAAACCATCCCCATAACCTTTTATATCATATTTCCAAGTTTTGTTTTTTGGACAGTAGAACGCTACATTAACAACGATATCAGTGCAATATCCAATACTGACAAGTACGCAAAGCAGGATACCAATCGGATGCATCCTTGAGAGAATCGTTGAGTTCTGTAAACTTTTAGAAAATCCAAATATTAATGTACTCATTGATTTCTAGGCTACCCGATTGTCGGGTGCTCCGGTTTTCTGAGATTACTGGAACAGGGGGAAGTTGGAAATTTTCAAAAGTTTTCAAAAATAAAAAAATTTATGTTAGGCTCATTTCATTAGTCGGTGTTTTGAAATCGAATCTAAAATTAAAAAAGAGCAATTTAAAGGTGGGGGGACAGGAGATTTTCCGTAGTTTTTTGTAGCTAGAGTATGCATTCTACCGTCACGGTGTACAACGCTTAATGTCACTCTGCGTACAGCTGTCGTCCTCGCCTTTATGTATGCAATCGGGCGTGCGCTTTCTCTTTGCCCGCGTGGCTCAGTCGGTAGCGGCGCCGCACCCTCAATCATCGCCCTCACAAGTTCAACGAGGGGCATCTTTGAACGGAATTTCGAGAACATTATTTTTTTCATTTCCCTTCACCTTTAAAGGAGGCCAGACATGAAATTTTTCAAAATTCTAGTTTTCTGATATATGACACAGTACAGTCTGAAAATAACAACGGACACCAAACTATAACTCTCTGTTATGGGGTTATTCATTAGTATTTCTTTGCATTTTTTTGCATTTTTTTCCTATTCATTAGTGTAAAAAAATTAATTTTTTTACATTTTTTTACATCATTTTTTTTTACATTTTTTTACATCATTTTTTTTACATTTTTTTTACATTAAAATGCAGGTCTCTGCGGGACCCACCGGCCGAAAATGTCCATGCGCCTTTAAACTCCTCGTGTAGTCCTCGTGGACAAGAGCTTTTTGCAAGCCAGAAAATTGGAATGATATTTGTTAATGTTTGTTTTTCGGCCATCACACACCACCAAACTGTTAAACGAGAAGAAGACTTGTAGTTGGCGTTGAGGGTTCCGGAATTAGGCGGATGCTCAGTTGCCCAATGCTTTCCGTCCAAAGATCCGAAACATGGAATCCTTCTACTTCTCCCGAAACGATCCAACTTCTCTGCGAAACCCCTCTCCAGCGCTCGAAGTTCACCTATAGTTGACGGGAACTTGATGTAAAGATCCGCGACCGCTATCAAATCGTCAATCGTATTATTGATGATTCGACTAATCGTAGCTTGCGAAATTCCGACGTCTTTCGCTAGATAACTTTGGCTGCGCCCTAAACTAAACGTTACTGAGCGCCTAGAAAGCTTTTTATACCTTCTCTGGAGTATTTAAGGAACACGAATAAGCGTGCGGCTTCAGAAATCGGGATTTGGCGCTGTTTTTTGCGGCAGTGCTGGAGAAGAATATCAAAATGTTGCTTTTCGATACCCAGGAAATGCTGTAACATGGAATTCTACTAGGCTTCTGGTTTTATCTCACTTTTGTTTGATGGTGTTCAACGGCATAGTTCACCGTTCTCATGAATACATCGTAGTGTTCTCTTTTGATAATGATGAGATCTGTATTCGGGATTGCGGACGGAATAAACTCATTTATTAGAGCTGCTTCTTGCTGTTGTAACAACAGCAAGGCTGCTGCAACTTTTTTCTGACGTGTTTCGCGCTCGTTTGTAACCATTACCCCTGTAACTGACTCTTTTTAACTTTTGAATATTTTTCCACTCGGTAAACTTGAATATTCTAACAAAAACGAGGTTGAATCACATAGTTCGTCAATTTTCTGGCTTGCAAAAAGCTCTTGTCCACGAGGACTACACGAGGAGTTTAAAGACGCATGGACATTTTCGGCCGGTGGGTCCCGCAGAGACCTGCATTTTAATGTAAAAAAATGTAAAAAAATGATGTAAAAAAATGTAAAAAAATTAATTTTTTTACACTAATGAATAGGAAAAAAATGCATTTTTTTGCATTTTTTACAAATGAATAACCCCATTACTGTACAAGCGAAAACGCGAACGTTTCTTCCAAGCGGCGCCGACTCCTCGTTTCATAATCGTTTTAGTGGCAGTAGACGGCAAGCCCCCTTTGGTGTAGAGGTGAACGCGCTTGTCTATCAGTCGCGCGTCGCGGGTTCGATTCCCATTTGTGCGTTTTCGTTTTTTTTTCTTTTTTCATGCGACGACATCGTAAAATGGCCGAAAAACGAGAAAAAGTCGGGAGTAATTGCCAAACAAACGAAATCTAGTGTATATTGAAAAAAAATAAATGCTCGTCAAGTAGCGCGCAATGGGTCGCAATCGCACGATTTCCCGTCAGAATACATGATCTCGCCCCGAGCAAACTCCGTAGATTTTCGTGTCTGGCCTCCTTTAAAAGAATGAAACTGAACATTTTCTTGTGAATTGAGTTGTTGAAAAGAATTGTTGAGTTTTTTGATTTTTCAAGTTTTATGAAACATGGAAAAAATCGAAAAACATTTTTCTTGAGTTTAAAGTACACATTTTCTGTTTATATTTTTATTGATTTTGAGTTTTCGAAATTCTGAAATACAGAGCATTTTTATGTTATACCTGATGATAAGTGTATAAACGTCTATCTGATAATATGCAGAAAGAAGCACAGCAAGACTCGTATGTATCTTTGAGTTCTGGAAGCTTTTCGAGAATCCAACAATTCATGGATTTCTAGGCTACCCGATTATTGGTTGCTCCAGTTTTCTAAGATCACTGGAGCATGGGGATGCTGGATTTTCAGAGCAAACTTTTAAAATAAAAATTCGCCAAAATGCAGATGACCTAACTTCTCCTCGTTATGACAACCTAGAAATCTAAAATATGCAAAAGCTGGACTGCAAATAGGGTTGTTGCTGGCTGCCAGTGCCAGAGCCATGAGCATTAAAAGCCAGTGAAAGTGGCCTAGGAATCCAAAATTTAGAAAGTAAACCCTAATGTGTTTCTGACAAACTTTAAATGTTTGAACAGCGAATTGTGAAGAATGGAAAATCTCAAACAAAAATTGTGTTTTTAGAAAGGCCTTCAGAATTTTCTGAACTTTTGTACCAAGGTACTTTCGAACATGCTGAAAAAGGTTTCAGCAATATCTCGGTCATAACCCTAATAGGAACCAAAATATGGGCTCTCAAAGCGTTTTCACTACTAAATTTTGGTCAAAAATGAGCATTTTTCGAGCTTTAAAAGTCTTTTTTTTTTAATGCGAAACTCATTTTTGAACACATTTCTATCATCTGAAGTCGTTTTTAAACAGTTTCAAGAAAAAATATCCCCATGGGGTCCCCCACACTAATTTTTGTGAATTTTTGAAATTTTTTTTGAAAATGCAGAAAAGTGCTTCACACGTTCAGAAATGATGGAAACATCATTCTCACAAATTTTGGCAGCCAGATTTGGTCTATCAGCTCTAATGATTCTCCAAATATGATTATTGCTAGAACTTTGAAAGATCAAAATTTCTCAAATGTTGCTGAAAATCAACTTAAAGGAGGCCAGACATGAAAATTTTCAAAATTCTAGCTTTCTGATATATGACACAGTACAATCGGAAAATAACAACGGACACCAAACCATAACTCTCTGTTACTATACAAGCGAAAACGCGAACGTTTCTTCCAAGCGGCGGCACACTCCTCGTTTCATAATCGTTTTAGAGACATAAGCCGACAAGCGCTGTGTGGTGTAAAGGTGAGCGCGCTTGTCTATCAGTCGCGCATCGCGGGTTCGATTCCCATATGTGCGTTTTCGTTTTTTTTTTCTTTTTTCATACGACGACATCCTAGAATGGCCGAATAACTAAAAAAAGTCGGGAATAAGTGCCAAACAGTGAAGAAATCTAGTGTATACTAAAAAAATAAATGCTCGTCAAGTAGCGCGCATTGGTCGCAATCGCACGATTTTCCGTCAGAATACATGATCTCGCCCCGAAAAAACCCCGTAGACTTTCGTGTCTGGCCTCCTTTAAATGAGCAGACATATATTAAAATCACATATGTGATCGATTTTGCAGAGTTCAATTTCGAAAAGACCATTTCTACAGTCAAAATATATTGTTTTTTAGACGATAGAATAATGTCTGGCTCGTCGAAAAATCCGTGTTTTGAAATGTTTTTTAAAATTTCAGAAGCCTTGTTTTTGACATTTAAAAAACTTGGAAATTCATGAAAAAGTATAATTTGTTATCTGGGAACCAAAACGGATACCAGAAATTTGTTTCAAAAAAAGCAAAAAAAGTATTACCACAGTGGGGGGTTGAACCAGCATATTCGCTCCTAATGAGTCACCCTCTTACCACAACACCACACAACCAACGTTTTCTTCTCACGCGGAGGGCGTATAGGAAAGAGGGGAAAGAAAAGAAATCGAGGTCAAATTTTCAGACGAAGATTTTCAGCTTTCTGATGGGAATGGGACCTATATTTTTTTTGTTATCGTGTAGAGGAGGTGTCAAACTATAAGTACTGAAATTTTCAGCAAATTCCCAAAGTCTGCTTTGAAAACGTAATACTAGTAAGTCAGATTCCTTTGTGCATTAAATTTTTTTTGAAGCTACAGCACTCCTTTTTATACCTGGTATATCTGGATATATATGCAGACGGAAGCACAGCAAGACTCCAATCGTATGAGTTCTTGAGAGAATATTTCAGTTCTAAAACTTTCTCGAAAATCCAACATTTTTTATATTCATCAATTTCTAGGCTACCCGATTATTGAGTGCTCCGGATTTCAGAGATCAGTGGAACAGCGAGGTTTTTGGAGTCTTTTTAAATGTGGTTTTTATCATACTTGTAATCCGGGCCTTTGCCGGGCCTTCGCGGGCCCTGCCATAATTCCTTTCAGAATCGATATTTTCGAACCAACTAAATCAGATATGATAGAGCTCCACGAGTACTACAAAACGGTATTATTTGGAATACTGTATCTTATCTATGAACAAAGTTACAGATCATAAAGTGGCTTTTCTCACAGGGCCCGG